CACAGACACACAGACAGACAGACAGACAGACAGACAAACAGACAGAGACCGACAGACAGGCAGAGACAGACAGACAGACAGGCAGGCAGGCAGGCAGGCAGGCAGGCAGGCAGGCAGACAGACAGAGAGAGAGAGAGAGACAGACAATGCGCGTCGATGGGAAGAAGCTATGAGCCAATCATGCTTGATCGGTGCAGGAATTGCTTTGGGGATTCCGAAAAATTCCAGGACATTCGGAGTCAGGTGACTTCTGGGATTACCAAAAATTCCAGGAAGTTTCGAGCACAGGGCTTACGAAAGACCAAAAGGCCCGGAAAAGCTGTGAGGCCATGCGAAGAGCTTGCTCTAAGGCCAAAACGCACCCTGACACACACGCAATCCTGGAGATATGATATAATATATAAACGACCAGAGGCCAATGTCGGCCACTCGCGGCCTATATATTAGGTATCATTCGGGAATCATTCGAGACGACGTGCCATTTCTAAAATCTCCGTCCCGATAACCTCGGCCCCCTTACTAATACCTGCACTCCCGACGCCCTCTCTTGAAAGTAACCAAGAGCCGAGGGTTACAGCATTGCTGTATTCAAGGTATCGTCGTTGGGGCGTTCCATGTCGTTTTACAGGTCACCGCTAGCATTTGCCATCTCCGACAACCGCTTGCTTTAACATCAACATACGATGAGAATTGACCCCATCTCATATGCTAAAAGCCGAGCCGCAATAATCCATAATATTTCACCGACATCTATCTAAAATACAACAGTTATTCGTTCAAGAATGACTGCAAACGACAACATCAAAGACATATTTTAATTCCAATTCATTGGAGATTACATTTGCTCTGTTTTATGCGGAACATGTCGCTGATATGTACCTGCGAAGACCTTTGACTAAGATCATGGTACAACGACGAATAGACCTTTTCCGCGAGCACACATCAAGACATCAGCACTTGGAATCCCAAAGAAGTTTTCGTTTTGAAGTTCGAAACATATTGAACTAATACAAAATGCAAACAAGTGGGGCTGAATATGTGTCTTTTTGCTGGCGGTGATATCAGCATTGCTTGCCGAACAATCTCAAGTTCCAGACGTCGGCCGGGGACGGTGTAGCTTCTGTCTCCACGATGATAGGCGCACCTGCACCCACCGCGCCTGCCGAGACACAACTGAGTATTGCATTCGAGATGCATCACACTTACCGCTGAACGTTCAATGCCTCCTCTGAGTGTGAGAGCACAAGCGAGCACGGACTGGTGCAAGTGGTACTGGAGAAGGCTCCTGCAGGCATGCGCAAGCCATCGCAAAGCGGCAGCCTACAGCTACACGCGACAGCCAGCTTATTCTCAGAGGTCTACCACAATCATTTAACAGCCTGCAGCAGCTCGACTCTGCTCCATCAGTTGCCAACGGCTCTTCCGAGGCATCATCACGAAGCACATCTGTAGTTGCATCTTTGGAAGATACCACCTGGATGAGGGATGTTGATCTCTGTTGAAACTGCTGTGCTGTGTGCCTACCACATCCCACTCTTCACTATCTCCGCTATCTAACATGGCAGTTCTGTTTGCTTCCACACACAAGCGAATGTTGTGCATGGGTAGACTGGGGGGCGTGCTGCTGCAAGGTGCATCGCCTTCTCGGTGACAGCGGCCGGCGGAAGCAACTCAATCGCGGCGAGGGAGATGGCGGCCTTGAACTGAACCGTGATGCGCTGAGTTGTCTCGTCTTCCAGTTCCTAAGTGACATCAAGCTCGCTCACGGGTCTGACATGGCTGCAGATCGCGAAATCAGCTAGGGCGGCTGCCATGGACCAGCATGCCACCGCATCTCGCAGGCTTACCAGTGGCACTGCGATTGGCTCCAGCAAGTGCGCAAGCAAACATCCTCTCCAAATCTTCTGGGCTTGTTTCACCTCCACTTCCCAAAGCTTCTCCCGGCAGCAAAGGGGAAGCACCACAGTACCTGCCACAGTTTACACACCCAAATGGAAGTGGCACATGCTGAAGATGCCTTTGTTCCATGTTATTTTTCGTTCCACGACATAGCCTTCGTTCAGCTTGGGCAGCTTGGGTCCATCCAGATTCCCTGTTTCTCCAACCTCCTGGAGCTGGGCCTCTTGGAGTACGCGATAGGGCTGGCGCTTGAAGTAGGCGACATGCTGCCAGGACACTTGCAGAAAGGCCAGCTCCTGTGACACATCCTCGTTCCGTCGGCGTGTCTCCGGAATAAGAATGCAGGACAAAGGCAGCAGCATACGCATCAGCGGGACGAGCTGAAAGACGCGAGCAATGTTGAGAAGCGTGCAAAGGTGATGGTCAGCCTGAAGAATGACTGCGGCTTGCGAGAGGTCAAGTAACAAAGGGGCGAGTGGTTGGAAGTCAGGCCGCATCACCCATTCTCACTCTCACTCCTGTCTTTCATCCCCTGGAAGGTGCAGGCAACTGCCGTAGCATCCCCCAGCCGTGAATTGAAACCAGCCACCTCCATAAATAGAAGCCGGAAGCCCTGTGGGTTTGTGGAAGCGTCCGGGGGAACAGGGAAGCACATCTTGATGCGATTGAGGCTTGGTGCCTGATGTATAACATCCTTCTTCTCCACCCAAACCCTTTCTGAGGTGAGATAGCAGTGAGAGCAATTTGGCTTTCATCCACAACTTGCTCTTATGGCTAACTAAATTCAGAACACGGCTTCTCCGCGTTGCGGCAAAGGTTTCCTTACGTTTCAAACTCCAGCAGCGAACATCGCTGTCTCTCTCGGCACTTTATCGGCAACATCCTCCAGCACAGTGTTTTCTGGCCGATTTTTCCAAGATTCCTGCACGGTAGCATTTTCTTGATCGGCAATGCAAACGGGCTGTGGGCCTTTTGCTTCTCGGCGGCAGCAGTTGCATCCGGATAATGTTGCCTCTTCTCAAACAACTTTTAAACACTTATGACACACTGACATCTCCGCTCCAGGAGGCGTTAGAGAATGTGATTTTGTTTTGATAACTTCGGACGGTTGTCGGCGGTCGGCATGGCTTCTGGCAACCTCGAAGCATCGTCTTAAACTGCGCAGCATTCTGGGAAGCCGGGTCCTTCAGGTTGAAGTGCGTCCCCGAGATCATCAGTAGCAAGAAGGCCAGGGCAAGGGAAGCCAAGCCCAGGAATAGAGTCCTCCCCTGAGAAGGTCGGCTGAAAGGTTGGGCAAGGAGCGCCAGACACCTGGAGTCGAGCTCACAGGGAGCAGTTCCTGGATTCCTAAGGTCCTACACCCCGTCTTGAAGAGAAGCCCCGAAGAACCCCTTAAATGTCTCCAAGCGGCAGGATGCTGCAGACGAAACCCCCGACGGCTCCCTGGGCCTGGCTCAGGAGTTCTGCGGCACTGAAGTGCAGAGTTTGGTTCCTGGTCCTTGCCTGGTAGCCCTCGAGCTGTGGGATGAAAGCCACCAGCAGGAAGCCGAGCTTTAGCAGCAGCTCGAAGTGAAAACTGTCCTTGACTTCCCGGTACTGTTTGCTACCACCCTGTCGATTCGAATGTTTCTCAACCCTCAGGCAACAGGCATCCCTTAGTCCCCGTCTCCAACTGCTGGGTCGGGGTTCAGTGCAGCAACTTCGGGCTTTGCTATAGACTGGGAAATGCCTCGCTGGGCTCCTTGTTAGCACGATATCGGCAAAGACGCCGAAAGCTACAGACCCCTTCAGTATAAGGTTCAAGTTTCAACACCTGGGAGATTCAATCGTGCTTGCTCTTTTAACTTTCAACTATTCAACTCCAACAACTGCCGAGGAATCCCCACAAAGAAATCGCTACAACATTACAACCTCCAACCTTCGTCTGGTTTAACTGCGAAGTGGCCGGGGCAAACTTTGTGAAGACTTCGAGACCTCTAAGATGTCCCTCGCGGTCATCTCGATCGAACTGCAAAAACAAGCACCGCACCACGAGAGATTGAAAATTGCTGGGCAAGCGAGCATTGACCCAGGCTCCATCGAAGAGAATGTCGGACAGCTGATCCTGACCCGGCAGTTGGATCCCTTGCATGTATGTATCGTCCCCCTTTAGTGGCGTCCCTGGTTTAGTCGGGTCGGGAAGATCTCTCGGCCTGAGGCATAACTCCGAAGTGAGGGCATGCGATGCTAAATTGAGTGCCCTAAGGGGGGCGTAGTCTGAAGCTTGCATTGCTGCAGGCCTGTGTCTTGATGTCAAGACTGCCATCGATGGTCACCAGTCGGGTGCCGTGGGCCTTCACGTCTGGAAGGTCGGCTTGCAGACGCACATCCAAGTGCGGATGGGCCTTTCGAATTGCTTGTTGGCAAAAAACTTGATGAGCATCCAGAATGGCTGATTGCAGATACCCGGATACTTGCAGATCTTCTGGCAGCTTGATCTGCAAGGCAGTTTTCGCCTCTGTGATTGCATACTCGGCATATCCAGCTTTGTATACCGGTTTGGCAATCTCATTGAATCGAGAAATGCTTCCAAGAAGGAGCATGCAAACGTACGTGATGTAAAACCCACCGAGACACACGGCGAACAGGACTGCCAGGTAGTAGGTGCCAACGTTGCAGTAGACCCCAGGGACGAAGGTCATGATAGGCGGGCTGATCTCTGAGTCGCATTCACCGACGGCAAGGACAGAACTTGCTGTGGCAACCATGAGCAGGTTGATTACCTGAACCTCAGTCTGTGCCCAAAGCTTCCTGCGTCTCGGGCCCTCGAAAGGGAGCATAGCCAGCAACGCATAGAGCATCAGTAAAATGGCCAAAGGAAGCAGGGCGCCGCCGATCAGCTGTGTCATGCGGCTGCTTGTGTAGCTGAAGATGCAGTCCAAATGGAAAGAATCGAGCAGCAAGGGACCTGACAACTCTCGACACAGAGAGGCAGTAAGACTTGGTTGGAAGCCGAAGGGCTGGCCCTGAGGGCTCAAGCGACTTACCTTTTCATACGTGATACTGGCCCGATACTTGCTCCGACCAGTGCAATGCGTGTCCTTTCCTCTTTAGATTGTCGTTGCATCGCCGTGCTCTCACTGTTGGTCTTAACTTCGCACGGGCGCGTAGTTCAAGCATGCTTGATGACAGGGGATAGATACCGTATGTAGTCGCTATAGTCTCTGATGATGACAGAAGCCCGGAGGATTGCGGGATGTAAGGGCTCTTCCTCCGTCTCTCGCATGTGATACAAAGTGGTTGTGGCATTGCCCACCTAGATTCAGCTGCAGCGTCTCCAGAACCGAGGCTTCACTCCGTGCATCCGGGTCTGGGAGGATCTTGCTGAAAACTCCGAAGAGCTGATAGACCTCTCACGGCGCCATCTGTTCAACAGTTCGCAAAGATACGGGGCACCATCTGTTCAAAGTGATACGGAGTAGGTCAACATTTTCTAGTATCACCAGATCACCAGAATACGCTCCAAATGTATGCTCACCAACATTGAAGTAAAGCCTTATGAAAAGCCACCACACCAGAACCCAAACCAGGGTGCTGGGATTTTCCAACAGTATGGCAGCTCGATATCGCGTGAGTTTGGCTCCAAGCGCACTTGAAGGAGACCCCCGCACCTGGATTCCTGCCAGCACCTCGCGGAGAACGTAGGGCTGCAAAGCATTCCACAAGGAGGGCGGTTTCACCAGGTTCTGCCGAGCAAGAGTGGGCCAGTAGCTTGCATGCTGCCTGCCTCTGACAAGGCAAGGCCCAAGCTGGAAGGAATGGATATGAGCGGGTTTAGGGCAGACACCGAGGCTCGGACAGCAAAGTGAGAGCGCAGCGGCCGAAGTCGCTGCCAGCAAGAATAAAGCAACTGCAGTTGCACCGGAGCGAGAGGCAAAGCTGACGGTCGCCCTCTTCAGCTGGCTGGTGGCACATTGAATGCCTCAACTCTCTGGGAACCGAAGACTTCAGTGCAATATCGCTGGCTGGATTCTGTGCAATCGATGTTTCTCACTTCAGCCTTAAGGCTCTCACACTGGCCGCCTCTGTTGAAATAAGATGGCGCGCACTGGCGGCACTTTGGACCCAAATGACCATCTCGACAGATGTGGCCTCGCAGGACATGAGACGGGAAGATGACGTGCGACGGCACCTTCCAAGAAACCAATCTCAACCATGAAGCCCAACCATGCGATGTACCTGGAGGCCCACTGACGCAGCCACTTGGCTTGTTGCCAGCAGCACACTTCAAAGGCAGAAGATGAGTTGGGTCTCGCCAATAGCCGTCCTCGCGATCATGACATTGGCAATGACGGAGTGGGTTCAAGATTTGTCGGCTGGCAACTGTGATGCTGCCATGCTCCTATTGCAGCACTACCCTCGCATGGGTGAGTTACCGGACCTCTGTCCGTGCTGCATAAGTTGCAATGATAAGCAATCCGTGCGCAGTACGCAGGTCGAGGCTTTGGTGCATAGTGCTGGGCACTGGATATGGGAAACATGCTCTCTGTTAGACGTGCCCATCCACCCCTGAGATCAAGGAAACAACAATCCTCAGAATCCTCGTGAAGTCTTTGTATACGCTCCAAGCGGGGGTCGGGCGGATCAGAAGGGCTTCATTGAAAAGCATTGCATCCGGTTATATGTCACATCCGTCGCCTCCACAATCCCATTCCTAAGACCTTCCAAAAACAAACTCTCGAGAGATTTACCAGGAGTTTGCTTAGTGAAGCGGTCGTTGCAATCAGACAAGCACTATCTGAATCTTGCTTGATACGCATCATGCACTTTACTCTCGAAACCTGGACACAAGCAAATATCCAAATCCACTTGCTGAAGGTCTCTCGAGTCTAGATACGGAAGGCACAGCATGCTTTGTCACAGTCTTGCTGTCCTTGACCGGCGCAGTCTCGAACTTGAGGCCTGTCGCAGAGCTAGACAGGCCTACTCTGCTCGCCATCCGAAGAGACCTCGCTACTGCCTGCAGGATGCGAAGTTAGATGTTTTTCCCCGTCTTCTACGAGAGATGGAACGCCCTGCACCCGTGACCCCGGGATGAACTGAAATGCTCTGGCTGCCAATCCCGGAAATTCGTTTAATTTTTCGGTGAGACAGTTCATGTCATTTCGCAGCACTGGGCCTGGCGCAGAGCAGTTGAAGTTCTCCCCCTGTTCTATTTCGATGCAGGCACGGCAACCCTCGCCCGGCATCATCAAGAAGCCTCGGGAAGATTGCTTACGCAAGCAGCATGTCAGCCTTTCAGTGTCATTCACCTCGCATCAGAAACGCAACCGGCCTGCATCACAAATGCAGTCGTTTGCAGAGGACAGACTCGCGGTTTCCAGGGTGATCTCATTCGCTTGGCACGGCGTGCACTCGAAGAGGTGGCTCACGGAGAACTCTGCGTTGAAACGGCCCTGCGGGCACCTCTCTGGAGCCAAGGATCAGGGGGCTGCGGCTCAGAAGCTCGTGTGCTTTCCGCCGGCCTTTGACAAGATCCCGAACCCCCGTGCCACCATCGCCACACAAAACCTCGGGTGCGGGAGTGTCGCTGTGCAGACTTCGGCAAACCCAAAGCTCTGACTTGCTGCCGTCAGGAGGCCTGGAGTGCACAGTCGAGACCGGTCGAGTTGAAGCATTGCACCAGGAGTCGAGGAGTTGTTGTCCTGTCGTGGCTGCATGCATTGCGAGCTCCTTTGAATAGTTACGGAACATGACGTCCTGCAAAAATGCTTGCAGATGGACAGAGTGCTTCGTGCTTAGATCGGCTTCGGTCTGCAAGCCAGCGATTTCTAAACCTCGGCTATCCGACTCAACTGCATGTCCTCAGCGCCACGCACACTTGCAAAGGAAGGGGCTTGCTTGCTCGCCTGCCTGCCTGCCTGTCTGCCTGCTTTCTTTCGTTCGCGCTCTGTCTTTCTCGCTTTCTGTCTTGCGCCCCTTGACTTATTTGCTTACTCGCTTAACTCTTGTTCTGACTGTCTGGCTTGCAGTGCATTGCCGCCAAGCTTCACACGCTGAGCTGCTTGCTCTTGGTCAGCCGCGCCTGAACACAATCAACACATCATGTCGTGTGTACGCAAAGCCTAAAGAATAGAGGCCGGCCTGGCACTGGCCCGTTTGCAGCACTGGAAAAGGCAACGAGAGCTGCAAGTTCCCCCGAAGGTCTATTTCTACATGCGAAGGCCACCAAGAGCTGCCAGCTTCAGGCAGCACGATGTCCTGCACAGCCAACAAACTTGTCGTGGCTTCTGGAGGTGTTTGGACAGCCATGTCACCGTGTTACCCCTTTTTGGGCCCCTTCGGCCCCTTCGGCCAGGTGCCTGCACACCGGACTTTCGAAGAACCGCCTTCCGCAGCGTGCGAGGAAGCCTCCCGTCCAAGTACGGCACGGCTGTCTCGGTGAAGTTCAGGACCTCGACACAGGCACAGTTCTCCGTCCGTGAAAAGATCCAACAACTCTTGCCGGCCTCGAGGTTGGGAGCCGAGTTGAAGAGATCAATGAGGCCCACTGCCGGGATTTGCATACGTTTGGCATCTGCAATCGTGAGCTGCCTGCGAAGAATCGCTATCTGCGGAAGGCATATGCAATTTCTTTGCTGCATCAAGACTGCAGATGTGCGGATGACTCAACATCCCGGACGAACTGCTTGCCGAGATGCCGCAGCATCGGAGCTGAGAGTGGACACATCCAAAATCCACGGGCCGTAAGCCCTTGTAGGACGAGAGAACGAAGATGTTTGAAGGAAGAAAGGCGCTCACAAAGGCTGGCCGCAGAGTCGGGCAGCCCAGGTACAGCCGAAGCAATAGACCAGTCACGGACAACAAGCTCCCTAATGAAAACAACCTCCGCACCGATGCGCCGACTCCCGGCACCGCACTGCAGCGCGCTCCATTCGATCTGAGCTGCGCTGAGTACTAGGGACACGTCGCATCGCCCCTCTTTGCAGGAGCAACGGACATGCGTTGAAGAGCAAAAGCTGGCCATCCAGTCCGAAGGATCGGCTGTGGGAAAGTGGTACCCTAAAGCCGCGAGAAGGAAGCCCCTACCGCCTACAGGAAGAGACCAAGTTTGAAGCAGGTCAAAGTCGGCATCCTGGGAGCTTGAGAGCACATGCAGCGAGCCATCAGACCAAACCATATCTTGAACCTGGCCCTGCACAGGCAATGTGTACCCAACTTGGAAGGAAAGGCTCTCATCGCGGAAGCGTAGCTGGCTGTCGCATTCTGCAGTCGCCAGGTAGCCGCTGTCAATGGACCAGGCCAGCCTGGGGCCCAGGTCCCACTGCCATGCTGACTTTGGGCAAAGCCTGGCATTGGTCGCAAATCGAACCAGCTGCTGAAACTTCTCATGTGCTACATTCTGCTTCCACACGACGATCTGTTCCAGACTTGCACTCGCAATGAGCTGGCCATTAGGAGACCATTGCAGGCTCCTAATAGGCGTTGTGTGATTGTTGTTGCCTTCGTGCCGCACTGCATGTCTATCTCCCGGCCGCCAAGTGTGGATAGTCCCAGCCCGGCCAAATACAATGCTATCTGAGTTGGGGGACCAAGCCAAAGCTTCAATGTAATTAATTTCTTTTTTGGTCTTGTTGTCTCGTACTGCGGCTGCTGATAGATTAAACGTGTGCTTCAGCGACCCATTGTCCGTTGGCTCGTATATGCGAATCGAATATCCACACGCCACGGCTACACGCCTGTCATCAGGAGACCAACGAATGGAGGGCTTGGAAGCCTGGCAGTGGCTCCCGACCGCACGTTTCGCATTCAGCTGCCAGCGTTCACCGCTGCCCCTGCCACTGCTAGCAACCCAATGCTCGGTACACTTCTTTGTCAGTATGAGTAGTTGAAGCCCAGTTGAAGAAACCCCGTAATTGCGTATCCTCTCCCCATTCAACTTCGGACTTTCTGCAACTTCCTCGGACGGGCTCCAGTGCTCCAAGACTCCTTCTCTGAGCAAAAGTCTCGTAGCTAAAAACGCAAACCCATTTGCCGACAGGGTCCACCGAGACCTTGGAAACGCTGGCCCGGCATTCGTGGTGCGCTCGAAGCTGCGGCTCTTCTGCCAGCCCCCTGGCCCGAAGATACTCCAAACATGCAGTGGCGCCGTGTCGGCTCCAGAGACGAGATGCTGGCCGTCATGAGACCAGGTCATGGAGGACGCGGGAGAAGCAAAGTCCCGGGTGCTCAGAACGTGCATAAGATGCCAGGCGCCAGAGCCCCCGGGGCCGCCAGGTGCAAAGACTTGCCAGATGTGGATACCATCATCCGCAGAGACGGCCAAACTCTGGCTCAGAGGATGCCACTGGAAACTCCGAGGATTTGTGTGCTTCAAATTGGAGACACATTCCTCTGACCAGCGCCCATCGATGTGGGCCCAGACGGACAGGCTGTTGGAACGCTTTGCCATGCATGCGAGGTACGCACTATCAGGTGAGAAAGCGATCGAGTCACAATCGCTGGCCACGGGCCATGCCTGCTTCTTTTCGAACTGGCCATCCTTGCCCAGGTCCCAGAGTGCCACAACCTTGCCTGCGCTCGTTGCAAGCTGCTGTTCATCGGTGGACCAGCTGAGCGTCTGCGCTTCCAGAGCTTGGTAAGACCTCCAACAGCCCGAGCTGTTTCGACTCCACAGCTGCATTTCGGAATCGGAATCGGCGCAATATGCAAACTGCCATCCTGTCGGAGACCACGCTGGAACACAAAAGTAAAACAACTCATCTGTTTCCCAAACGGAAAGGTTCTGACACGCCCTCCACTTACGGGCATCACTGCTTATGTTCCATAGCTGTAGTGTGTTCTTGTCTCCCATCACTGCAGCTTGCTCGCCGTTTCCTGCAAGACCAACCCACAAAATCTGGACAAGCTCGTCACGCCAACCATACGCGGGATCAAATCTCCAAACAATAATCCCATCCGATCTGCCTTCCACTATTCGGGAGCCAGCCTGCCAACTCACCGTCAGCTCATCACGAGTCAGCTCATCACGAGTGGCAAGAATGTCAAGCGGAATACCCAGGTGCAGGACAGCCTCCCGGTTTTGATTGAGCGTCCGTGCCACAATGCAGGACTCTCCACTTCTACCGTCGCCGATGTCTGCATCCAGCAGGTCGACAGGGCGGTACACACGTTCAGAAGGGCCTTGTCCAAGCCAAGCTACCAACAGGAGCCACCTGGCTAAGTGTTGTGTTCCGGAATCCAGCTGCATGCAGGCTCCTTATTGCCGCAACATCTTTGGCAGACGACATCTTGGTGAACCTCGGGCCGAAACGTAATTTAAGTTGCGCATCGTAGGACGGGAGGCTTTCTGTGAAGATGGGAACTCTCAAGCCTGGGAGGGACAAGCACTTCCTTCAGCTTCACTTTCGCGCTTTTTCAAGTCCACTCTCTGCGCAAGCACGAGGCCAAGAGCAGCCAGTCTGCCAGTCTGACCTTGAACGGCCGTTATGTGACAACTGGCTGAGTGATATGTAGCTGCTGACCAGCGACAGCAGCAAAAACTTCGCAAGTCCCACGGAGACTGCTTCGGCAAGGCCCGAATGGCCTGCTGACGTGTCCATCAGGGAGCTGAATCACGTTGCACTGGACCGCCGCAAACGCCCATCTCCAGCTTTCAGGCACGTCGGATAGAGTCCTATGTCACCTCGCGGCCTCCAAGCTTCATGGCACCAGATCACCGCGACAGTTGGCAAGGTCTCTCTGGAGGTTGCCTTGTCTTCGCTCTACATGGATCTGCGTTGCAGGCGAAGGCGTCGTTGAATCGATGTTAAGGGCTGTAGCTCTCCCGTGGGACTTTCTGGCCCCGGGTGCAACTGACTGAGACTCACTTCTTGTTCTCTGCCCGCCGCCACGTCTTGAAGATGTTCAGGATCTGCCGTCCATGATTTTCACCTGGCGTGGTGTTCCACTCACATGAAACAAAGCGGCTTGAGGCAGTGTCTGTCTGCTTCGCAGGGAGTCAGTGGAGGGGAGGGGAGGCAGGAGGACAGAGACAGCGACAGGCACAAAGACAGGATTGGGACCCGGCCCGGACACAGACGGACAGAGAGAGACAGACATGCCCTCTCGATTCGTTCGCGCCACCTTGGCTTGCCACGGTCTCTGCCTCAAAGGCTTCGCCCTGCCCAGGGATGCGAGTCGCCCACCTTGCCGGGACTTCTAGTTTAGGTGGCGCGGCGGCTGTGCTTTTGTTGTGGCTGAAGGCTCGCACTCGGCCCTCCTAGGTACCCTGCTTGATGCACCTACCAGCACCAGTATCTACCGACATGCAGGATAGCAGCTCGGATCTGGCAGTCCACACACACGCAACCCTGGGAAGGACTGGGGGGCGGGAGCCTCATGTGTGCCACGTCGCGAGGTGTGACTCCTGACATCACAAGCAATGTGATCTAACTTTCTCATGGGTTCGCCTTCATACGATGCAAGCCTGACAAGAGCAAGCCTGACAACTTAGTACTTTCCTGGAAGCACCCTTTTCACGTTAGCCTACCCTGGAGCCTGCAGCATCCACCAACAGCGCATGTCATCCTGCCTACTGCAGTGCGCTGCGCTCCGGGGCCCGCTCCCCGACAGTTTCTCGCAAAAGGGTTCCCTCCGGACGCCAGCAAGGCTTGGGCAACCTGCCGAACTCTTGAACTGTTGGGCTGCTACGTTTCCTCGTGTTTCACAACCCCGGATTCATAGACACCGGTCACTGACTGATGATGAAACTGGCGTTGGCAATTCCTATGGGCACATATTTTGCGTTGTTTGTCTCGCACAGCTGTCCTCAGCATGGCCCTCGTACGCTGCGTAGTGGAGGGCTGTACCTCGAATAGACGGACTTCCATCCGTGCCAAACGCCCGAATCACATCCAAGTCTTCTCAACTCACGACACATTCAAGGCTCCGCCAACTTTGGCGGAGAACAAGCGGAGAAGCATCTAGGCATGCGGTCCAAGCGCCGAGCAAAGGCTTGAATCCCGTGCCTGAGCGCTGGTTGCTCCCAACGCTCAACCAGGACATGGCCGAGTGCGGCGAACTTTCGCACAAACCCGCTATGCTTTCGCACCTATCATTGCGGGACTTTTGCAGAGCTTCTTTATGGTCACGTAACATGTACACATGAATGTATTCTGTATGGAGGTATATAGCAGCTTCATCCTCCAGGCATCATGCTCATGACTTCTATGGCCTATGCTAGAAGGAAGGTGCAGTATGCTTCTTGACAGGCCTAAGCACTCGGCTTTTATCGGCTTTGTCTGTGTGTGCGATTAGGTCATGAAAAAGCGGTTGTGGAAGCTAGACCGTACAAAACGCATAACATGCTGATGCTTGGCAGCTTCCTTAGCCTACTGGCTGACAGGCACGACTACGCCTTCGTGACATCTTTGGCACAGCTTTCGTGGAGATTTTCCGTGCAACAGAATTCGACACCAGGGCTCAGAAATTAGCCTCTCGCACCTCATACGTCCAAGATTCAAGAAGTAAGGGCTGTGGCTGACACAGGGACTCACCGTGACTCACGCTTCATTAGGCTTACGGCTCAAGGCCATTTAGGGCTCACAAAGCAGACGTAGCAACCTCACAGCCATCCTCACAAGATGATGGAATCATGGCTTGTTGCTCAACTTTTCGGCAAAAGTGTTGTCATTTCGCGCTTTCGTTCGAGGAGCTGTCGCGCACCCTTTAATCCGTCTCAGATGACAATGACCGGAGTGTGTAAACCGAAGACCACAAGACCTCTGAAAGAAGCCGTACACGAAGCAGCAACTCCAGGCTCCCGACATGCACGTAGGCCTGGGATTGAGGCGCAAAGGGCACATCTCGAATGCGCTGCAGCAAGGAATCTAAATCATTTCGTAAAAGCTGCCTTGGCAGCCAGAAGTGCTGTCACTGCTGGACGATTTCCGGAGCGACTCGCGTGCATCAGTACCTGATGGAGTGCTTGATCTGTCACACCAACTGAAGCACAAAACTGCCCTTTTCTCCGCAACGTGCAAAAAAGGGAGATGCTAACTGTGGGAGATGATCGGTGCTTTTGCCCCGCCTCTCAGGATGCGTTTCATCTTAAGAAATGCCAAATCTGTGGGGCACCGACATGCCAGAAGCGTCCTGCAGCAGCCCATGCGATCTACTGATTGGTGTTGAACAATGATTGCCTGCAAAAACACCCGGGGAGGACCAAGAATTATGCGCCTCGAGCTAGTTTCCGGTATTTGCTGCTGCTGCCCGTCGGCTCGGCTCATTTCCATGTCACCACTGTCCAGAGCAAATCAGATTCCGACTCCTATTCGGTTGTGCTAGGATGCAAGCAACGAACCCTCAGAGTCCTCGCAGTCATCGTACGAGGACTTTTGAGGACGGACAGTGCCGGACAATCGGGCTGGAGAATCGGCAGCTTTGGGAATGCAAGTCTGCAAGAATAGTTCCACAGGCGAAGAATAGAACTCGGAGGGTAGATGGTGCTTGCAGAATCGAAACTCTGCCCCTTCCCGAAGGTCTCCTTCAGGTCCACTGCGCTGATGATTGACACCATGTCCTGGCGCATAAGTCGAGCACGTCGCTTTATGCACTTCCCTTGCCTTTGCCATTTGCGCTGCTTCTGCATCGTCCTACGACTTGTTCCGGACACCACCTGCGTTGCCCTTGGCCATACACGTATGACATGCTCAACAGAGAACAGTACCTGTTCTTATGCCTCAATTGTGGCCGACAATCCAACAGTGCTCCTCCATGCCTCGCACGTCGGGATCGAGCAGCCCAGAGTGGGCGAGCCTGAACAAAAGTTCTTATCACCACCTTGTTTCTGAAACTGGGTGACACTTTCAACAAGACGTGCGACACCCAAGATGAGACAACATGTCAGCTCTTTTGTTGCTGGTGGGTATTGGAGAGACCCCAAGCTGCGGGCTCCACACTCCAGTTTGGCGTAGAGCTTTGTATGGCGACCTCAAGGCTCGAGCGAAAAGTGATCTGTTTCGAGGTGGCGTTTGAACACCTCCCGGCTGTGGCTCTGAGGGGAGGTCCCGCAGTGGTCGTTTGGTCGGGAGAGAAAGGCTGATGGCTCCAAGCTCAGCTCCTTAACACATGAAGTAATGGGAGCGACCTGGACGAAGACTTGCGCAGCTGCTCTCGAACGCTTGCGGCAGGTCCAAAGGCCTGCACTGCTTTCCGCAGTTGAGGCGGGCGGAGGGAGAGATCTCAGGCCGCGGCTGTCCGTCGACCTGAAGCATTGTCTCCAAGCGTCATATGCATGTGCTCACATAGCCAACAAGATCATACTCGGGTTGGGGGACTTTGCTGAAGACCCTTGGAACCATGCCCACGAGGTGCCATGAATTCATTGACTCGTAACCGCACGTTTTGCCGTTCGGGAGAAAACTGCATGCCGCAAAGCTCAGCACGGGATAGCACGGGGCGAGACAAGCTTTACAGTAATCCAATTCACGTGCATCTCCACCGAGGCAGAACAGGCACGTGCGGCAGCGTGGAAAAAATCGGAATCCAAAGAGGATATGCCGTAGCGACGCAAGCCTGTTCCCAGGGCCCAGATCCTAATTGGTCCTAGCCCACCAGCAGACATATTTGCCATGCTGGGCTGGCAGCATCTTGCTGCCGCGGAAGGGAAAATCGAAGGCACGAGCATTTCCTGCACTTCGCCGTATTCTCGCAAAAATAAAATGTGCCCGAAAGTGCAGTTGCCCTCTGGGGCTAGGATCGGATAGAGCAGCGCGCAGTCGTCGAAGCAGTCATGGGCCACGCCAGCACGTCCATGTGATAGAGGGCATAGGCCAAACGCCCGATGTGCTTGGAATTCCGTCGATCCTCAAGGCCCGTGCACCCGCAGATCCGCGGCTATGGCCCATAGCAGTCCATATCACCACCCATCGCGCTGTGCAGAGCAGAGCTCACTGTCAAGACCTGCAAGTTACCGGCTGACGGCCGCCAGCTCAACAGAAGCGGGGCTGCCGTTATCCAAGGGCCGTCCACGAGTCTCAACCACCAGAAAACCTTGGAGTGTCCAACACTGCAGAGATAAGACAGACAGACAAACAGATAAATAGACGAGATAGATAGATAGATGTATAGGCAGATAGCTGCTAGCAGATAGACAAGTTGCTTCATTGGCAGACGCGCAGACAGAGAGATACACAGATAGACTCTGTGCGTGTATATATCGTATGTGTCCTGGACTGTGAAGCTGGTGGGGGACTCTCCCTACAAGCAGGCCGAAGCAAGCCAAGATGCTGGATGCCACGGAACCTGCAAAGGACGACAAAGGAAAATCAGAAGAACATGCTCAAGGGCTAAAGAGCCTTTGGCATGCTTTACCGCACCACTACATGGGCCTTGCTATGTCACCCTGACTTCCCCGGCCTAGAAGTGACAGGAGAACCAGGCCTGGCCAGAGGAGGTTTATCTGCGCACCGCAAGAGCTGAGAAGTAAATCGACAAACTTGCCAGGACCTCTCAACAGGAACGGAAGCACACTGTTGTGCAGCTGGTAGCCAATGCCATATACAGCAGGTGCCTGACAAGCCGATTCAAAATCTGTTCCGATTTCACGGTGGGAGACAAGCATCTCTCTGCCAATTCCGATTCATGCTGTGCAGCTGCTGCAATGGAGCCCAGTCTGCCGACGCCCATGCAGAGCCCAACCCCAGATGCTCGCACAGACACCTTGGGGCCGTCTGAAACCGCAGAATCAGACTGCAGAGTCCACAGTATCGGCACGCCTATGTTTACACCATTTCAATCTCTTTGTGCTCCACCCCAGAAGAGCTGTCAAAGAGGCCATCATCGTGTTCGAAGATACTTTGGCTGATGTCGCAACAGCGCCAGCTAGATTCTTGTCAGCTCCCTACTTTTCTGACCTAGTCGTTTCATGTTGAAGCGCCTGGAAATACGACCGCTGCGAGACCTCTAGTCAACCCACACACACATTCCCGCAGCCAAGCCAGTACACCACCAGTAAACATACATATAGATATAGATATAGATATAGATATAGATATAGATATAGATATAGATATAGATATAATATAGATATAGATATAGATATAGACATGCATAGATATATACATATATACTTATTTGTTTACTCATTTATTTGTATTATATAACTATATACGAGTAAGTTGCAGATCGGTTCTGCAAGAATGGATTCGCTGTCTTCAGTCTAGCCGCCGGCAGGGCCTCGGAGATGTACAGAAGCAGGAAGGTGAACATGATGCTAACCACAGCCTACGTAAAGCACAAGCGTAGCAAAATCAAGAAGCGGGTCGACGGGGTGCTCACCGATGGAATCCCACTAGGGGCCTAAAAGTTCCCTCTCAAATCCGTCCCAAAAAAGGTGCCTCTGGTGTGCTGATGCACTTGCTTGCAGGTCTGCAGGCGCTGTCCAGCTCAGAGTTCTAAAGCAAGCGGTCTGCACTCGACAATCCTGCCTTCAAGGCATAGGCTGCAGGATCTGCCACGTAGAAAGCACCGTAGTCGGCGCCTGGCACGAAAAGGACGTCTCGCAAGCCACGATGATATAGTGTGCCGACTGCCCTGAAACTCTGAAAAGGTCGACACTCTGAAATTCTCCGAAGCCGGGCGGACTCGTCAGCGCAGCGCTGCAGAGGGCAGAGCCCACACAGAGCAGCTGCAGCGTCCTGATGCGGCCTCAGACTCAGTCTTGCATACCACCACTCACATTGACCCAAGCTCAGCATCCTAATCAAGCGGCAATCTGCGAGCAGCACAAGGACAGAGCCGGCTAAGGCCAAGGCCCAAGGTTGGATGCAGCAACAGGAGCCCTGCGAGAATAATGCCAACGAACTCTGCGCCAGAAATGATAAGCATTTCCATGGCAGGACTGGTCCAGTCCCCGGCCATCTCAGCAAAGATCCTCTGCATGCAAACGGTGCAGTGTGTGCGATCACAGCACGCGCACCTGTGCATACTGTCCTATTCTTTAAGGGGTGTGTTTGCACTGGGAACTTTAAGGAGAGTGCAATCGAAGGAGAGTGCATCGAATGTACTTCGCACAAGGTATCACGAGCTTCAGCAGGCAAGCCGGAAAAATAAACAAACGATGATAGATGATGAAGCAATGAGACAAGTGCCATGACCTGACTCCAACCATATCCAGCCAGGGCACTGAGTAAACGCCTCACAGTTTGCGATTTGAGAATAGGGCACAGCAAGTCAATCGAGCAGTGCCGACATGCTCGATGCCAGGCGAGTCGCAAAGGTAGTCCCATAGAACAGATAATTCATTAGAAAGGCCAGGTAAGATGCCAGCACAATGGTCCTGCAGGTCAGCCGCGCTACTTAGATTTCGAACGCATGCCGGTGTTCGGAAACACGTCAGCCTCCTAATTAGCACTTTAGACGATCGTTCTTTCAATGAGTTCTCTGCGAGGCTCCTGCAATGGCCATCCCGGACAATGGCGTGCCAAGCAGACGCTAGGGTCTTTGATGCAGCACAAGAGGTCTTTTGGACCTTCAGAAAGTTCGTTGTGAAACGCATCAGCGGCTGTAGTTCTCGGCAGTTTAACGAATGGCTCACATGGCACGCGACCTCGATGTCGACGCCGCTCTTGCCATGAAGGCGCTGGATCTTCGCCTCTCATGCGAGCTCGCAGGTGGGAGCCCGCGGCACTCGCGCTTTTGCTTTTATTTTCTGGGTAGGCTCCGGGCTAAGAGCTCGTCGAGCTCTTTGTGCTTCCCACAAAGCTGCAGCCAGCTGGGCGACTCTTGCACCAGGAATCCTGGGGCCCCCAGGCCAAGAACGAGGGCAGAAGGCATCTGCGGCATCTCACGAAGGAGGCACGGGCATGGCCAAGGCACCCAGCGGCGTCATGAGGAAGGCTGGCAGAACGCTCCAAAGGCACAAGAACCTCCAAGGTCCCTGGCGTCACAACAGCAAGCCACAACAGCTTGCACTCACTTTGCTGTCGCATGCATAATTGCAACGGCCGGAACTAGTGTTCTGTCAGCATCGACATCTACACAAGCAGATGTATCTGTAGCTAGTTACTCATTAGAAACGTGCTGGTCCGTCTGAGGAGTTCGGCATGGTGTTCGCCGATAGGTTTGATTCCCAATTCCCAACTACTCTCCATGTCGCGCAAGGCTTCTCAGTGCCCCCGGTGCCCGGGAATGTTTTCCACTGACAAAGTCAAAGCTTTCGTAATTGCAGATGAGGCACCTGGAGGTTTGGCATGAAGAGTAGGAGGCCAAAAGCAGTCCAGGCCTCTCCAAGCCTGACTCCCCACCACGAGTTTACTCTCGAGCTCCGAAAGAGTGCAGGACACTCAGAACTTGCTCTACGACATGATGCTCGACTGGCTTCGTACGCTGTTGGCCAGTGTGGACAGAGTGGCTCAGGCAGCTTTAAACAACAGCCAGGCAGCACGAAAGCGAAGCCAGTTACGTTGGAGAGTGCCCCCCTCTGCTCAGTCGGGGTAGCCTGTGCCACACATGGCGAAGTTGTGGATACGGGAGACATGAGCAGCACTGTCCGCAGCAGATCAGAACGGAACCCTGCTTGTCGAAGGAGGGAGTGCTTAGCTGTGCCACGACATGTGCATGTAAAGTGTTGCAAGCTGACAATCGCCTTCATCATGTTGTATGCTGCCTCCCAAGGAATGCTCCGGAACTCGCCAGCTGCCAGTGACACGAAGAAAAAGACTGCGGGCGAGTTTGATGGATCCAGACTTGGCTGCTGCTTCCTGTTTCTTGCATATGAAACTACGAAAACTCTTGGTAGCCGCCATCACACGACCATGGCTGTAACTATGCAGGTCCAAAATGTGCACGGCAAGTCGAGCAAGCATTAGTAAGGGACGTAAAATAAGTAGTAAAACCGATCAACACCATAAGCAGGATCTGTCAATCGTGGCAACGGAGGTCAGCAGCACATAGCAGCACGCTCAAAATGTTAGGCTCTTCGTGCCTCAGTCAGTAGAGTCACCGCAGATGGGCCGCCGATGCCGATGGCACAGCCCAAGCTGATCCTGAGCCGAAGGGCGCCAAAATCAGAATCTCAGGGCTCAGAGATGTAAAATGAAGTCTGGGGAGGCCCAGCAAAATACTCCCCTGTCACTGTGTCAGGTCTGTTGCAGCTTGCATGCATCGAGCCTCTCATGACATGAGAGCTTATAATTGTTGGGATTGGAAGAGTGCACCTCGCGAACCATTCCAGGCAAGTGGCTGCAAGAAGAACAGCTGGCCGATGCTCTGCACAACCCTCCAGTCGTGGTCACGCTGAGCCCAGACCGAGCAGGGTGGCCCTTGCAGCCAAGGGCACGAACAGAGGAGGCCGAAGAAGCTGACGAGCCAGAGCGAAAGAATGCAAATTCGTCGGCGTCCAAACCTGGCGACGGAACCACGCACCAGCGAAACGAAGGGAATGTTTCTTGCATTTTCTTGCCCAAGCTGGCGACCTGGTGCTCAGTGGCCCGCTGAGCAAGTTTCCCATCTGCATGCCGGCAAAGGAGGTCGACCTGGTCTCGTGCCAGATGGAAGTTCGCTCAAGGGCGCTGACGCATGGGCCGTGGGTCGTGGACTCTGGGAGCCGGGCACCAGCAGGCCCCTGGCCATTCGGCCCAAACGAAGCTCGGGGCCCAGGGCAGAGACGATGGCAGAGATGAGCCTCGGATTTTGCTCTTCAGGGCTGAGCCGCTACAACACTGGAAGGACTGCTTTGCACTCGGCCATGTGGCAGCATCTCAGCGCCGTCAGCAAGCATGACTCCGGAGCAGAAGAGAGCAACCAAGACGTGGTAAAGACCAACCTTGGGAATAAGTGGAATCTGTCGTCTTTGCTCCTACCTGAAGAAGCGTCTCCTGCGTGGTGCGCAGCTTCCGGAGAGTCGACAGCTGGGCATCTCACGCCCAAATCGTCGAGAACCTTCAATGGTCTATTGGACTGCAGGGTGCACTGACGTCCACTGTTTGCGAACCGCCTCCTGTTGAGTCACTTCCTGCGAAGTTCGGCCGAGTGGCTGCGCTCAGGTCTCGGCCCGTACTTGCCATGGCGACTCGACCACTGAGGCTTCTCAAGGAAGCTTTTGGACTTCTTCTTCTTCTTTATTGTCGTGTTAAACGATACTGTACGTCCATGCGCTCGGTGTGGATGTCCGCCGGCTCTGCTGGATTCACTGCACATGCTCAAGCCAAGCTCCCCCGACGAGCGGACGTGCCCACGCAAATTGCGCAGGGTTCGGCAAACATCTTGAGATTTCAGAGGCTCCCGCGTTCCCGATCCAACGTTGAGCTTGCACTTTCCACCGGAGTTGACGCGTAGCAGCATCAACCACAACCTCAATCCGCATGGCCCTGGAATTTCAGCTTCTGCAACTCAGTGCCACGGATGAGACCGCAGCCACTCATCGTCTGTACCGAGCTTCTCAGTCCTGCGCAAGACGATGGGCAACGGATGTTGACGAGCGTTGCGTTTAAGCAAGCCGTCGTATGGATATTTGGTAGTCAAGCCGTGCATCTCCACTCATCTCCGACTTCTCTCCAGTCCTCACGGGCTCTTGTCCGGAGGCTGACAGCAGCCACCTTCAGAAATCATCAGCTGTTGCGAGACTAGGAGTCGGGTCGGGCTCCCATGGGACCGTCGGCTGAGGCATGCTGAGGCCAAGGCCGTTCATCGATCTTGGCCAGGGCCGCGGGCTCGGACGCCGCGTCGTCGCCTCAGGTCGCCCGCTTTCGCTTCTCGACTCCAAAGATGGGCAGCACGGAGGGCTTCGATAATCTAAAAGCCAAACTCCAGAATCTCTGAGTCAACAGCTGCCATCACTGACGTGAAAAGCCAACTTGACGTTGCGGTCACGCTGTGCACCTGTTCCCCAATGGATAGCTGGGTCAGCACTCTGTTCCACGGCCTCGTCCATGAACATCTGGACCATCCGCTTCAATCGCTTCTTACAACACCATGATGAAATGAGCCTACTCGGTCTGCTCCGGTCGAGGTTACCCTCACGGCAAGCAGAAAAATATCGCGGGACAAAGGCGGCCTTTGGACTTCAGGTGCATCCAGATGCGCAGGCCCTGCTTGAGGGCAAGATCCTTGCATCTTACGCAAATGGAGGCAAGCAATGTCGTTGACACAAGCATCTACAGTCCAGAAAGATTGAGGGATGTTGGGGTCTAGTGGCGGACCGCTTCCATGACGACCTCTGTTGCTAGCCGCCAGCCCTAGAGTAACTCATCCACTCGGACGGGTCCCCGTGCTGAGGCTCGAACCCACCCTACATCCTGCCTGAGCTGCAGGTGGGAAATTTAATCACATGGACTGACGAGTGCCGCAAGTGCCGCCGGATGCAAGACTGGGCCTGCTGCCACTCGGAGGAGAGAGTCAGCGTCCTGTGCCTGAGATCGTGTGCTGAATGCATAGTACACTGCACAAAGAAAACGAATGTCAGCTACAGCTACCGATCGAGGCACTGGCTGTAGCATTGCTGACAGCAGAAATGCCTTTTGGTCAGTGGCCACAACTGGAGCTGTGAAGCACAGGAATGACTCCATCTGAGCGCATCTGAGTTGAGTCTCCGGATGTTGCAAACGACCGAGCTCAGGCAGTTCGAAGCTGTTTCGAGCACCGGGTCGCCTCTGCCGCATCTGGCAAAGGCTGAACAGACTTGTCCTGCAACCAGGTGAGAAATGAAGCAAAGCCACAACACTTCCGAGCCGCTCTATATACGCTATCACTTGTGGCCAGGGCCATCACAACCGCCCTTCACCCGTCCAACCTCTTCAGGTCCAGCTCTCCTCGCAATGAGACGCTGGAGTCGCTTCTGCATTCAGCTCACAGCTCTCCTTTCACGCCGCTGCGTCTGTTCCAAGAGCCGCTGACGGATCTGGCGCGAAGCGATTTGGTTTCTTTCTGAAGCCAAAGCCAGAAAACTCGCTCCTTCGGTTCCCGGCCTCTGCCCAGTCTGACTGCTGGGACTCCCAGGCCAGGAGTTCCGTCCGCTCGTCCTGCACGATGCGAGGCAGCGAATTCCAATGGAGCTGGCATACCAGTAGTACGCGTGCAATCGCTATCACTCTCAGTTTCACACGCTGCAGAGCGTGCGCTCTGGGAGCTTCAGAGCGGGGATTTGTGCTGAGCGGCAGGACACTGCCGATTTCACCTACCCTGGCTTTGCCAGGCCTCCGAGAAAGCAAAACGGCCCAGTTCGATTCTGGGGATTCCTGGCTCGCAAGGCAATGCCTCGCATGCAATTTCAACGGTTCAGCGAAACTAAAGTAACTAAAGTCAAAGATGGATCTGTGCTTCAGCCCTCGACCTCAAAGGTCTGCACATGCAGTGCCGGGCCAAGCACGAAGGCTTCGAGGATTCGAAGAGCCGGACCCGGCACGTCCATTCCCGACGGGCCCGCAAGGCTGTGCAGGAATCGCACGGCCAAGGCATCCTCTGCAAGCACCTCGGAGCAAGCAAGTTCCACAGAATTCTTTGCTGTTTATCTTCTCTCCAGTTCTTCATGATCCAGAAAAAAAGTCTTATTCTGTGCTTCCCTCCAAACGCGAGCCTCCGGTAGCGCACACCACTGCCGCACCTTAGACGTCTCTCAGCACATTCTCTCTGTGCCTATGGCGCCCACAGTCTACAGGGCCCAAACTCGAGATGTTTGTGTGTGCAGGTTTGCGGATCTGAGGCCGTGACCATCTCCATCTGCGCCGCCCAGATGCTCAAAGCCGATGGCTTGGAGTCGGAGGCGCTCTGGTCAAGGCCGTCCAGGCCGTGCCAGCGCGCGTCGCACACGTCAAGCGCATAGTCAGACAGCAGCCAAGGTAGGTGCCTGCCAGGGCTCTGGGCAACCCTACACAAGCCTCATGATGCCTTATGCCGTGTGGCTTTGATCTTTTGCGACTGACTGCCTAGGCGCTGTGGGCATTGCGGGCGTGCATGGTTGGTAGGTCGGTTCAGGAGGTCAAGGCTTCAAGGCTCAAAATTGAGGTTGAAAACGCAACCAGCTTACGAGAGTTCTGGGAGGTTCACATTAAATTTTGGGTTTAGTCAGTATGTAGCTGTGTCGTAGCCAAAGACCACGTGCCTCATGCGCAGATACATGCAGTGGATTTCATTGCGCACCATGCTGATGGCGGTGCGAGTGTTCATGCCTAGTAATAGCTTGACCACCTCAAGGCACTGCAGCTTGACAGGTCGCAGGAGCTGCTCGCGCGGGAACTCACGCACCACACGCCGAAGCAGACACGTGTCCAGCGAAGCTGGAAAAGGCCCCCGTTGCTCGTGCTGGAACTGCTGCAAGGCCTCCTCTTTGAACTTGTCCCGCAGACCAGCGTGCAGGGCTATTTGTAGCTTGTCGATGTTCAGCCGGTGAGAGAGCTCGTTCCCAAAGCCCAGCAGCATGTGCATGCGGACTTGGCACGTGACCCCGTTTGCGACCAGGATCCGCACGGTCTCCAAGAACTGGGGCCAATCGTCTTTCAGTAGGTGGCTAGAGGGCCAGCAGATCATGGCGTCGAGCAGTGAGTTTCCAAAATCGTCTCGCAGCAACGACAACTCCTGACCATCTGCCACCGCCTTCTTGACCGCGCCGAGATCAACGATACAGCGCAAGCCGTGTCGAAGATGATGGTCCTCTCTACATATGTACCGCCATTCGGATGGCATGACTGGCAGAGGCTGCGAGGCTGCGAGGGCTTGACCTAAACAGGCTGAGCCGAAAGCCAGCCAAAGCACCTCCCAAGCTACGTCTCCAAATGCTCAGTGGACTGGCATCGCTTCTCCTCCTCTGCCGTTCCTGGGCCTGGGTCCGACGAGCTTCTGATCTGTAAAAAGGCGTGGTGACGCCGTTGCCGAGGCTCCAGCTTGCTGCGCCTTGGGCTCGTGCCGCACTGCGGATGTCCTACCGGGCTTTTCTTGTGATGTTTGCAGGAGTTCGAAGACGTGCGTCCTGTGGCCGAAGTTCGGTTCCCGGCCCTGCTCACGCGTGCAAGCAACCGTGCTGCGGGGACTGCTGCGACTTTTCAAGCAGAAGCAAACTTCAAGCAGCACTGAGGAAAGATCCTTCGAAATGAAGCTCAACATCAGAGGACTCCGAAGGGACTGAGCTGCTGCCTCAGCAACTCAGCATTGAATGCAGAATCAATGAATACAGTTGCATGTCTCCGGGAACGCTTGGAGGACAGTTCTGCGATGCAGCCGAGACTTCGTTTACCAATATAGATCATCCCCCTTCACGTTTCCATGTG